TTGAATGTGTTTTAGAGAAGTGATTCTTGAAGTGACAAAGGGTCAATATGCTGATACTGCATACAAAAGTGAGAGATGTTCAGGCTTAGTCAAGCGTAGACAGAAAAACATTCTTTCGGAATAACAAACTACAGGTGGGCTTTCTTCTGAGGAACAAATGGCAGTTTTGTCATTTCTTTTGAGTTGGTGTTGCCCAAATTTAGGCAGTCTTAGGCAGCTATGAGACTGTCTTCAGTACATAGGCTTGGCCTGAAAGTAGTTACAACTTGTGAAGTAGTTAATAGGGAATCACTTGATAGAGAGCATGCTAGACGTGTAGCTACAAATATCAGTTTTCTTTAAGTAAATGGAACGGAGGCTTGTCAGAGCCAAAGAGATCATCATCGACTCTCTCAATGATTAGTTTTCCTGTATAACTGAAGGGTTTTTTTTTTTCCATCCCTGAAACTTGATGTAGTAAAATTCAGTTTGGGAAGAAACCCAAATGCATGTTTCAAAACAGCATGTTAAAAAATAGGCTAAGGAAAACATTTTTCATTGGTAAATGTAACTGCTTTATTTCTGACCGTATCTATAGGCTAAACAATTTTCTTCAAGGGAGAGAGGACGACTAACTTTCCAACAAAATGTAGCACTCAAATACTAAACTGGATACCCAGATTTTGAAGACAAATCTTGAAATAGAATAAGGTGCTTATTAAAGTACTTCTAAAATGTATTTTGTCTGCTTTTGAATTATAGGATTTGTAAGTTGCTTTTTAAGAAACAAGATAAAGAACTGACTCCACCAAAATACTTAGTAAGGCTGATACTAAATTCAGGCATCATGGCTATGGAAAGAAGTAAAATAGTCCTGGTGTACTGCTGTGATAGGTGTGTGCAGGAATACTTGAGGTGATTGGCTGCAGGAGAGCATGGCAGCAGGAAATTACAAAACAACGTTTCGGCAAGGGATGTGAGAGTCCTTGAATAAACTGGAGAGTATGACCTACAACGTAAGTCAAGTGAAACAATAATAAATACCAAGCCAAAAAAAATCTGCTGTTGGAGTAATTACTGAAGTAAGAAATTAATGGGCTGAGTGAGGCTGTAGCTTGACAGCTGTGCCTGAAACAAGGCTGAGGAGTAGTGTCCCTGACTGGGCCATGGGCCAAGGTACACTTCCTCTTGCAGGACCCTAATTTTGAATTTTATGCTGTGTTTTGCTGCATACTGAGAACCAAGCTTGGATATTCATATCTTGGAGCGTGGCTGTCATGGTGACTTCTTTGATGTCACTTCTAAAGAACTGCTTAACCTTCGTGTGACAGAGTCAGTCAGTGGGAGGCAGCCACATTGAGCTGGGGGCTGGGAGGGATTCCTCTTGTGACTGGAAGACTCCTGCAAACACCTACCAGTTTCTGGTTCTTTGCAGAGGAGATGTAGAGTTAGTCAACTTTGAAGGTTAACTAAATGATTTGATGTAGTTGTTGCAGGATATTTCAGAATATAAAGCCTGTTTTTTTTTTTTGTTTTTTTTTTTTTTTTTTTTTTTTTGAATGGCATATTTGCTAAGAACATAAATAGCACACACAGAATTTTACTCATTATCTAATTCTTGATGCCTGTTTTGGGTACTACTGGATGTGCAGAGGTGCAGAGTCCCTGGGGCTCTTTGTGCAGTTGTGTGTTGCAGAATAGTCCCAGCCATGAAATCTTTGTTGTTCTGGATTTTATACAAGCAAGAAGTGCTAATTTTGCACTTGAAAATGGGTTGGCTTAGGCAGGAGCATCTGTCTGAATGGAGGGTTTGAGGCCTTGCTCTGGGAGAGAACTGAAAATTCATCTAGCATAAATGAGTAAAACATGTTAAAGTCCCTCTGAATGCAATAAAAAAAAAAAACCTAAAACAAACAAACAAACAAAAACAATTAAAAAAAAAAAAACCATGAAAAGCATTCAATTGGATCTTTTGAACATTCATGTGAGTGGTACGCTGTAATTTTGGATTTTTGGATTTCAGAATTGCACTGTATTATATCTGCCCTGCAACAACTGTACTCGGCTTCAAAGTAGAGCTGCTTAGGAAACTCTTCTCTGGTAGTTTGTTGAAAGTCAGACATTTTACTGTGAATAGTTTGGTAATTTTAGTAAGATTTGGTAATTTGGTGAAATTCTGATAGTTTTTCTGACACCTCAGCCTGTTCATAATCAAAACCTTCCCCACAGACCCAGAAATAAGGGAACTCTGGAAAAAAAAATCTGTAGTGCATTAGTAGCAAAGAACTGAGATTTCATGTAGGATAAATGTAGAAGCCATACTTAATATTGAAAGCAAATTAATATGTGTAGTGTTGAGTTAGGCATAGTGTGTTGTCCAGAAGTGATAGGTTCATATATTTGTTTGTGTAAGCTGTGGCATGTGTCCTGACATTTTCTCTTAATTCTTTGGAGAGGGGGGGGGGGAAGTAACCCAACAAAACTGCCCGAAAAAACAACAATAAAAAAGCCTTGGGTAGAAACCGTTATATTTCTAGTCAGAGTGCTGTTTTAAGTTGCACTATAATAGCAGTGGTCAGTAGGCAAGCATCAAATTATATTTTTAAGTTGCAACTGCTTTCAGTTACGTATTTTATATCTTAAAAACATTGGGTCATTAGTGATCTTTGGTTCTTACCTATTTTGTTTTTGCATAGTCTAATAGCAGCCTCTGCCAAATGCAAACGCTTTCTCCTTTTGTAAGGCTTGTGTAAGCACACTTCATCACCTCCTTCTGGGGACCACTGTATCTCTGCTGAGACACGGAGAGCTGCTGTGATGATTGCTATTTTCTTCTTATCCACTGCTCAGATTTTGTTAGAATTCTGCTTGCTAGCTTCCTAGCATGTTAGTTTCTTCTTCATACAGAGCCAAAACTTTTCTGTTTTTTACAAGACCAGTGAAAATTACTGGTTGTCACCTTTTTTTTTTTTTTAAGTGGATTTCACATTGGTTTCTGAAAAAATGCATTCCCTTAAATTCCAAATCTTGCTTTTGTGTGCATATTAGTTGCCAAATACACACTGTCAGTACAATTTGGGAATAGCATTTGCTCATTATCTTCCTAAAATTCATACTTCTTGTCCAGATTGTTTCATGTTATCTTGAAAGAAGCCATAGCTAGGTACAAAGAGAAAGCTATATGGCTATTGGGATTGATTACACCAGGTAAGTGAGAATCCCTTTAGGAGAAGGATTTGTGTGGACTGGTGAAGCTGTTTGAAGGTGATGTATTATGTGCCAGGAAATAACATGTTGAAACAGGAGAGGGAGATTTAGTTCAACAGACTTGTCCTCCACTTTTTCAATAATCATTAAACTTCTTTTCCTGTTATTTTGCCAGTCAATATTCATCCATCTGTCAGGACAGATCACTTTGCTAGCTATTGAATTTTTGACTGACTTCCTGTAGATCCTTGTCTCGTATGGTTCAGCAGCCTTTGTCCAGTTCTGCACTGAAGTTCTCAGATTTGTGGAGATGGGTGATTCTTTTGTTATATAAGCCACAACTCACCTTGTTTCAAATAAGATCTTGTAAGTTTTTTTTTTCCTTTTGACCTTTTGAATAATGTAAAAAAAAGTTAATTAACATTCTTAATCACTTTATTTGCAGCTTTCAAGTTCCTTTTTTTCCTAGGATGAATGTATTGCAGTGCTCCTGTTCTTGGAGAATTAATGTGGTGTTATGTTTGATTATGTACACAGAGTATTTCTTTTTTTAGGGGGGTCATTGCTGTACAGTAAAATCAGATTTTCTGTTGTGTGAGTTTTCCAAACACCTTAAATGAGCCCTAAATATTTCGTCTACTGGAGTGGCATAACTTTCAGTTCATTTTTGAATTTTGCTCTTTACAGCTGAAACTTGATTCACTTTGGAAGTTTTTTTACTTCAGTTTAGGCTCTGTATTTGGTGGTTATTCTGTGCTGTTTTTACTTTGTCATTTTCCTGTGTGAACATGTCATTATCATTCCTCTGAGAGAGGTACTTTTAACTCCGTACTCTTTATGATCAGGCTAATCTTGTAATTATAGCTTCAATAACTTCATTCACAAATGTTCATGGAACACCCACTGCTATACCTGAATTTTAATACCACTGGTACAAGCCTTCGAGGGAGATTTGACTTGAATTTAATCTGTGTTTTGAGTTCTAGTAAGGCAACTTGAAATATCTGGGATGTTCAGGGAGCTGGGATGTTCTACTGGGTGTCGTTTTGGCTGCTTTTCTCTCACGAGCAAATGAAACTTGATAGTGCTCAGAAAAGGAGAAACTATTTGTAACATAGAGGACGTGCTAGGTAGAGTGTGAGCTGTTCTCTTATTACATCTGACAGCAAAATGACTCTTTATATATGACCAGACATCCTCCTCTATCCTCTCTTAAGTTCTTTTCTCTTCTGTATAACCTTGAGCACTTATGGGAAGTATTTTCGTAGAATGAGATCACTCATACTACTGAAATCTTCTAAAAATAAAAAGAGCTTATGGACTCAAATGTATAGCTTAATTTCCTGTTTAGCTAATAGAAATCTTTCATTTTCAAGTGAGTCCTGGAAGAGGCTCTTCCACTTGTTGTTTGGCTCCCTCTTCTGGTCAGCCTTTGCTCAAATGAAATATTTCTGTAGACGAACCAAACCAAACCAAACCAAAAACCTCCAGAGCAGTCTGCAAGGCTGATACAATTTATGTACATGCTTAAAACTATCACATAATTTGGTTCTAAATCTACTTAATTTTATTTTATTTTTACTAGTTCTGAGAGTTGTAAATAAATAATTTCCCTTTGTTTCTTTGCGTTTCCATCACTTCTGTCAGTCTGCAAGCACTGAAGATCACGTTGAGGGCAATCTGTGCAAGTACACATTGCACAGTATTTGGCACAGCCAGATTCTGTGTCATTTTGTATCATATGCTGTGATTAGAAGATAGAGCTTTTATGCTACTATTCTGCAACTTATCATGGTTCATTTCTTTTTCTCCAGGTGATAGAAACACTCTCAAAACTTTCCCGCACTCCTATTGCAATTGGCACAGGAATAAGGTACGTTATTGGCCTAGTAAATGGTGTGAATAATGCCTCCTCCCTGGTCCCCCTTGAAAATGCTGGTGAGGGCCATGTAGGTAGACATGAAATTTTTCTTATCAGACATTTGTATGACCTGGCAGAAGAAGTCTGTCTTGCAGTTTATTTGGAAATTGATTCTAAAGGGAATCCTCTGTTTCTGGTACATTTACTGAAGTGCCTGAAGCCTTCTTGTGATGAAGCGTGGAAGTGAACAATGAGTAGTTAGTGTTATAGAATGTTTGTGAAAATTATAATATAGATCGTAAATCCAACAACTGATCAATATGAAGAACAGATTTTCTCCTATTTCTGTTTTCTAGAAGTAAGGAAAACTGCCGAATTGGTGAGATTCTTGTTGTAAAAAAGAAACAAACAAAACCCAAAACTCAAAAATCAAACCAACTGAAAAATGAACCCAGTAGATCAGTCAAACCTAACTTTGTGAACCTCTTGTGAGAGGAGGTGAAAAATCACATACTTCAGCTTTGAAATTCTCCACTTTCTTTGTTAATTCAGCAGTTTTACATGAATGGATGTTAAAACAAAACAAAACTACGTAGGAACCCAAAATTTCTCAGTCCTGTAATCCATGTCCTGTGCTGAAAAATCATACTCCGCTGTAAAAGATGACAATAATGTCTATTAGTGGGGTTCTTATGAAATATCAAGTCATGTGTACCAACCTAGATATAAATGGTACTGCTTATCAAGTAAGGAAGGGAACATAAAACATTTTAATATTAATGAACTGAGTTATCTGTATGAGAACTTCAGAAGCCAAACCAAAATGACTTTGCAACTCTACAAATTTATAATATTTTTCTTTCTATAGGCCCTTCCCTACAGAAGAAAGCGTTGATGATGAAGATGTCTACAAATGTCTCCCTGATTTGATAGAGTATGTTGTAAACCTAGAGTTAAATGAAAGATTTTGGTTTTCAGTCACACTACAACATATATGATGATTTTATTGAAGAAGGAGATATTAGTTTGATTTCTTTATTTGGTTTGCAATTATGGTGACAAGAGAGGATAATGTTATGAAGGCTTATCTGAAGATTGCAATATATTTATATATTTAAAGGAACATGTTTTCTAAAGGGTACTGATGATGAAGTGAATCATGAATGCACTTATGAATTATCTTTCTGAACAATGGGAATACATTCAGAGAAATATGGTATCAGTTTTAAGGAATTCAAGGAAATTGTCGTAGTCTTGCAAAGAAAATGCACTGAAATTCTTTGTATAGATGCATTTACATTTTTGGGTGTTTGCAGGATTATTAATTATTGCAAACTTTTGTATTGACTTTGAGGCAGAGATAGAATAGACATGAAAACACTGTATAATGGTAGTTTAGACGTTTCCAGATCTCTTAGGAATCATGCTGGATAAGAGCTAGGGTCAGAGCGCGTTGTCTCAAAGATTAAATTACACCAATGTTTGGTTCACTGGCCTTTATCCTGCTTTCTTTGCCTGGGTTATGCTGTAGGCCTCTTGCTCTGGTGTATCTGCTGTTCATACCATGGATTTTTTTTTTTCTTTTTTGTCTATAGAGAAGGAAAAATCCTACAGTGGAGTTTACAGTGTACTTCCTGGGTTCATGCAAACAGTTCACTTTCTAGAATAATTGTCCCTTTTAATTGTAGTCATGTACCTGACTGGATTGATTCTCATTTTTTTAAAAATTTTCACTCTGAACAATTTCAGAGTTTCCTACAACAAAATCCCCCAAATAATAAGCAAACCTGAGCAAGTCTTTGTATTATTATGGCCAAACTATTTTAATTATGTTTTTGGCTGTTTTGTAGATATAATTTAAGAAATGTGGGTGCAAGAGTCTTAGTGTGTATGTACAGTCTTAGTGTGAATTAAGCAAAACTCCTACAGGACTGACTTTAATGAAGTTAAATTACTTGAGGGTAGAGTTGAGCATAGACTTTATGTGGAGCTAATTATGTTGTCTGCGTAAAGGACATCTCTTTTGCGTTGTTTTGAATTTTTTTTCTTTTAAATATCTGATTTTAAAGTGGGAAGTGCACTTTATTATTTTGGGTAGCTGAAGGTCGCTTATGGTACGGAGGTACAGACTCTTAGCTGCTTGCTCTGCAGTCTTCTCTGTATTTTACCTCCAGATAATTTTTTGTTTAGGCAGAAAGGAAGCCTGAGCCACTGTCCTGCATTGCAGTGAGATGCCAGGCAGTCAGAAAGGGCAGCTTCCCTGCCTCTGCGTGTGGTGGGAAAAGGGATGAAGAGAGTGGGTCCTGACAGAACTGTCCTGACAAGCTGCTTTTCATGCCTCGCTGATTTTATGTGGTTGTAAATTCATTCAGTCTTCAGTATTGTTTTCATTTCATGTAATCGTATTTTAAATCTATTGAGGAAAGACAATTAGTGAGCTTAATTTTCCTTTATGGATTCTCTTCGCTAGATACTTCTATTAATTAATCTTTGTTTACTGCAGCAATTTTTTCCTATAAGAAAGGCTCCTTTGCAGAGCTGGCATTGTAATTTGCCTGTGCTGCACAGGTTTTAAAAAAATTCTTGTTTTTCCTTTCAGTGAAACTGGTGTTGATGAAGATGAGGAGCTGTATGATTGTGTCTATGGAGAAGATGAAGGTGGGGAGGTTTATGAAGACCTAATGAAAGATGAAGCAGCACAGCAACCTGTATGTTTTCTAATGCCGAACATTTTGCACAGTAGTGATTATTTAACGTCTGTGAAATTACCTCTTTATAGGTAGTTTCACCAAAACTTCACTTGGGCTTAATTGCATGTGGATCTGTCGTGTGCAGTGCATTATTTCCTGCTTTGTGGTCACTTTTGGCAAAGGGTTGAACATTTATCTATGGTAGTATTTTGAAAGAAATGTAGTTTATTTAACGGAAATATAAGATCACTGGTTACTAACTTCAAAAAAAAAAAAAAAAATTAGAATGTAATAATGTGAAGCCTTCTTTCTTCTGCCATAATTTGGACAATTGATATTCAAAATGACAAACATGAAGTTGTTGCTTGAAGAAGTGGAAAATTGTTAAGACTTTCGTCTTGTTTTTTGAATTAGTGTAGATTTCCAATACAAGTATAAAAGATACCTGATGTGATTTGTTTTTTGCTTTTGCAGTTACCACTGTTTACAAACAAACATAAACAACGACTCAAACAAACCAACCAAAATCCTCTGGAAAGCGTACTGATTTGTTTTAATCTTTATAACTCTATAGGTTCAACTATAAATGTTTTCAAGTCTGTTTTTCTGCTAATACAGTATTCTTCAGTGAGTACGCATAAAATCAAAATGAAATGTGCGCTGTTACTTTTTAGCTTCTTGCTTGTTTTTGTTTAATGACAAAATGTTAAACTTCTGAAATACCTGAATAAAATTTGAGATGAAAAAACTTCTTATCTAATCAAGCCACATTCAGTTTCAAGTAGGTTATTTTAGAGATGCAACTGAATTGCAGGGATTATTTACTATAATTTTACTTTCATTTTATGCTGAAGCTCAAAAGATTTGGAATTAACATAAAGGAGATGCAGGTGTTTTTTCTACTGTGTAGTTGGTAGTCTCTGACAGTTGTTAGTAAACTTTCCCTGATTCTTTTTTTCTGAGTGCAATTTTCTGAGTTCTATTCTTGCCTATCTGTGTTTCTTGTAAATGATTAATAGAGAGTTTAGATTTTACATGCTGTAAAATGCATTTTAGCCTAGATAATTCAGATTGAACAGACTGTTTCTAATAGAAAGTAAATGAAACGTGAAAACCTAATACAGCTAACTATTTCTTCCTCAACATATAATGAATGGTGACGTTACAATTGCTTTGCTCAGGCAGCTTTCTTGAATGTGATAATTATTTCTGCTTTGTGATAATTTCATGTCAGGTTTATAAATGCACTGTGTGCTAATATGATTATTTAACACAGTTCTTTCATTTGAATACTTCTACAAGAACTTGCAAGTAAAAAAGATTAGCACAGGACAACTTTCGTGCAGATATTCAGAAGAACCTAATGCTTTTAAGAGTCTCTAATAGCAGCCAAAATGTTTTGCATCTCCCTCACCCTTATCATGATCATCTTGCAAAGTAAACTATTCCACTAAGTTTTCTCTCAGTTGATGACCTTCAGATGCAATTTTCCTCACTTGTACTGTTATTTACTCATTATTATTTTCTCTTCTCCTTTTGTTTACTGCACCCAAATTCAAAAACTCTGTGATATGAATACGAAACTGATGTGCTAAATGCTGTCAAAAGTGCTTGTGGGAATGATCTATTTGGGTTAGATGAGCACAAGACTGAATTCATTTATTTTACATGGAATCCCAGGATTTTGTTTGCATTACTCATATCACTTGATGAACAACAAATACCCATGTTCTGCAAGTGGTTATGCACTCTATTGAATGCAACGTTTGTGCTGATGTAAATATTACAAGACTAAATGTGAAAAAATAGCTAAAGATTAAGTAATGTCAATTAATCTAAATTGAGATTAAATATAGTTAATGGTGACAGAATTTAGGAATAAGTGATAGATTTTTCAGACGGGGCTGAGTATTAGAATGCTCACCAAGTATGTTTCTGCTTATGAAAGACAGCTTTTATATACTTCTCCCATATGGTTACTTCTGTCTCCAGCTGGTCAATAAAGCACTTCATTGCTTGGTGTGGGGGAAAACTAATAACTGCACAACTTAGAATTTAAAGAGAAATTTCAGAAGTTGGAATAAGTGGTAGAAAAGTGAGGAGCATATTCAAGTTGCAGGAATTGCTTGTAGAATCATACAGAGATAAACAGAGTAGGGAAAAGGAGATAAGGTGATGAAGATAGAGTGATGAAGCTCTATTTCTCTATATGATTTGCAACTTTCACCTAGTTTGCATACATTTCCTATTCTTCACCTGTGGCCGAGCCATCCCAAGAATAGTATGCGTGTGTGGCTCATGGTCAGTTTAAATGTGGTTAGCGATGTGCTGTGTTATATTTATGAGATGTGGATATGACTGATAGTGGAGAAGGGAGTGAACTCAGTATAACCTTGGCCATACCAAGAGCTAAATTTTAAAATTTCAGAGTCTAGAAGCATTGCCACTGCTGCAAGAGAAAAAAGACTTATGCTTAAAAGTTAAGTCATTTTCTGAATGCATATAGTACTATAGTACTAGGTTGCTAAATTCTTCCTGATTCTGTCTGTAAGCAGTAATGGCTGGTCATAAGGTCTGTTTTGTACATGATGTGAATCACCTACACAGATTGAGAAATGTAAGCTATGGTCCAGAAGGCTTTAGGAAAGTATTACAGACTGGTAATTAGGCTTTAGAAAGGATGTCATGTTATTGGTGCTCGTTATGCAATTGCTTATTGGTGTTTTTAGAGAAAACATTTTAGGTCAGTAATGACTTTTAATTGTGAGAGCTTAGCTGGTTTTTGTGTCAGGTCTCCCAGATACTCCAGCTGTTTTTAAGACTTGTGTGGCATGAGCATGTTCATACCTGCTTTTGGGTGTCTAATCTGTAGCTGGAAATGAGCTTTACAAATTAATGAAACTGTAACACTGTAGATCTGATCTTCATTAAGAGTGCTTGTAATCTATTATTATGGTAATTACACAGGCCATTCTGAAAGTAATGCCTCATATTTATTTTCTTGGAAACTATGACAGCTACAAAGAACGTGGTAACTCTGATAGAGCAAATTCTCAGTTACAAAACACTATTTTTCAGCATAGTTACCACAATTAGCTATGCGTTTTTGCCAGCAATGAACAAGAGCCTGCACGGCAAATTAATCATCTGGAATATGGCTAATCTTTCAAACTGCTGTTGCCACTGCTGGAATACACCACTCACCACCTGACTGTGCTCACGTATGCTGACTGTTTGGTCTCCATAAATGCTCAATAAGCATCAATGAAAGTCAGTTGTTGCCATTTTTTCCACGTGGAGTAATTCAGTGATACACCTTTCCTTCATCTGCGCTTCCATGTCAGGCTTCATTTGTCCCTCAGCTGCCATGCGTCACACTGCAACAAAATGTAATGGTGTATTGGTAAGAAGGTTCAGCCTCTACTGCTGTACTGCTAACTTCACATAATAGGAGGCATTACTTTTGAAGCAACGCTCATGTACAAATGTTATATGAGTCTTCTAATTTATGTGGAAAAATCACCCCAGATAAACACAGGCAAGAGCTGAACTTAAGAGATTGCTGCATTTCCTGGTTCAAAGAAGTGATTACTTTGTGTCCAAAGAGAAAGCTCCACTTGAGAACTAAAAGCTGTAAATAAGTGCAGGCACTAGACTGAATATTTATAGCAATGTAAAGTTACTTACATGAATTAGTCCCATTAAGTTTAATGGAATTACTAATTGCTCAGTATTTAAAATAAGACTCTGTGCTCTTGTTTTTCAGCTTCTGAGGTACATGCAAACAGCTGAGCTCTCTTTGTCTAAACATAAACTTTTCATAGCATTCCTTTGATGTGGAATTGTAGTATAAGTCTGAAAGCCATCAGCTAATTGAACATTAAAATATTCTTTGTTAGTGCTATCATCTTTGGAGGCTGCCGTATACAGAAAAAAGTATTCAGGAAGCAGTTATCCTAATTGCTAAATTTTAAGTGAATAAGTATGTTATCCATTAGGTGCCTGTTAATAAAAATAAACTTGTCTTCGCTATAATTTCAGAAGCATACTGAGAATGATGTAAGAAGTTGTTGTCTTGCTGAAATAAAACAAACTGAAGAGAAATACACTGAAACTCTGGAATCAATAGAAAAAGTAAGTATTACTGCTTTACAAAAACATTATAAATGTGTTTCTATAGCACTCTAGAAAATATAACGACGTAGTCAATGTATGTATTTTTTCCCTGCAGTTTTTTATGGTGCCGTTGAAAAGGTTTTTGTCAGCATCAGAGTTTGAAACTGTTTTCATCAACATTCCTGTGAGTAACTGTATTTAATAAAGAGCTATAAGATTTGTATTTGGTTATGATGTATTTGTGTTTTACATTAGTGTATAAATTGGGTATTTGAAATACTATGCAAAATTGATTTGTGTAGCTGTAGCGTACTTGATGGAAAAGAGTATGCACACTATTTTATTTTTTTTTTTAGTCCTTTTCATGGAAAAAATGAGAAATAGTACTCTGAGATCAGATAGCAAGTTTAACCACTTTTTAACCAAAGAGGATCATTTTTGACCTGTAGAGGATAACTTATAGAAGACAAGTTGATTTCTGAAATATGCCACTAAGTGACTGTATAAAACAGTCACTGTTATGTTGCCCACCATTCAACATTCAGTAATGCTTTCAATAGAATTTGTATAAAGAGTCTGCAAATCTTTGTATCTAGCCCAGTCTGTCATTGCAGACATTTTGATGTTCAAATAACTTTTAAATTCTGAATCTGGCACTGAACAGCAAAAGCAAATCCTCTGAAGTGTCTAGGAGATGTTATTTGACTGAACTATTCAAGGTTTCCTGTGATTATCACTTTGTCCCACTTATTTTTGGCCTCTTCACAATAGTATGACAATTTTTACATACCTTTTCTGTAGTTGATTTAAGTATCCAGCAGATAACTTTGCTTTATCTGACATTAAAGAAAGACATCAGACATGGTCTGAAGCTCGTCTTAACAGAGAGAAATGAAAGGACTGCTCTTTTACGAGGCAGACTGTAAAGGAAGGATCCCCAAAGCGTGGCCCATGGACCACATCAACCTTTATCACCTATGAAAGATCATCTGTGTTGGCTATCTCTGGAATGTCCTGCAGCTTCTCAGGGCTATGGGAAGAGGTGTTTGGGATTTTTCTTCAATGGAACCTGGTTTGCAAAAATATTTTAATTGCTAAACTAGTACCAATCTGACTGCAGTTAAATTATAGCAGTTATTGAGCTAATCATAAGATGATACCTCACATCTTTCCATATTTGTCTTCCTGTTTAAGTTTTCACTGTGAATCTTAATAGCTACAATTTCCTCCTCTTTTACCATTAGTCTGAAGTACTGCCACAGATATCAGTAAACTATTTGTCTTAGAATATGTCAGCTGCCTTTAGAGAATCCTTTGCTTTGAAAACAAATTGTTCTGTCCTATGGCAGTGTTTCTTATTCACTCTGAAAGAAGCTCTGATGTGACCTTTCTTACCAACTGTGAATCTTTCTAAGGTGCAGTGTGGCCAGGTACACTGACTTAGTCGCCTTGAATGCCTCGAAGCCAGCCAGTGTTACATGCTTCACAAGGATGTAAAAGGGGCTTACACACTGCAAGCAGAAACTGAGGGATCAGCCTACTCACTACTCCTTCAAGAACAGTAAGGAGATAGATCAGCCTTTCAGTATAGTGGAGACTGTAAAAAAGAAGACAGGCATTTTAGCAGAAACTGCTGTGATAGGGTGAGGGGAAATGTTTTCAAACAAAAAAACCCATGTGATTTAGGTTGGGTATAAGGTAAAAAGTTTTTTCAAGTAAGGGTAACGACTCATTGGAACTGGTTGTCCAAAGAGAGGTGGTGAGTGCTCTGTCCTTGGTGAGGCAACTATGGTCAAGCTGGATGGGGGCTCTAAGCATGTGGTGCAGCTGTAGATGTCTCTGTTCATTGCAGGGAAGTTGGGCAAATGGTATTGAAGGGTCCCATTCTACTGAAATGATTCTATGATACTGAGATAAGAGGAGTAAAAACAACAAAAGCTATTCATCTTACTAGTTCCAAATCACATATATAATTAACTGCTATTCAGGTATTTTTTAACTTCTCTTTTCATTATAGGCATGCAGTATTCTGCTTTTACAGGATCATGGTTATTTCCTTTTAAATTCTTCTGACATCTCGTAGGCATCTGACGATACTGATAGAAATGTAGGGTTTGTCTAAGCAAAAAAAAAAAAAAAGTGTTTTCTCTGCTCAGAACTTTTCTCTGCAGCAGTTCCTCAGCAGGAAGGCTGGAGGGCAGTGGAAGCTCACTTTAAACTGAAAATAGCTGTTAGAAGCTCTACAGCGAAATGGTGATGTGGAGTGTAGTTGTGGTGGTCTCAAGACAGGACAGATTTGTCTCCGGTAAAAGCTTGTGGTGACTCATTGGTGCTTTAGGGTGGTGCTGTGTTCCTTATGTATGGATTATATAGGGATGCTAGCTGGACAAAATCATTTGCTGATGCCAAAATACATTTTATTAAGGAAAAAGGCCCGAACCACAGCTCACCAGTCTAAATAGTGCCTTTCATCAGGGCTCAGAATTCAAAATTCTATTCTTTAAGATTATATATATATATGGCTGTATATTTGCATGCATCTGTATGCCTCTGTGTATGCATGTGAGATCCTTTTGTATGTACATCTCTGCATGCATTTGGGATACGTGCAGGGAGAGATGGAAAGAAACATAACTTACTGAGGTATTGACACTTCATTAACCTTTAATGATGTTAGCATCACTTTAATTTAAAAAGTGAAGTAATTCTGGTTGAAAGAGAAGTTTAAAGACATTTTATTATTTAACATTCAACTTTATTTCAGGTTTGCTGCTTAGCTGAGTCTCTGTACACTCCTGAAAAAATGTGCTGTAGTATGTTCATCTGGAAACATTTCTGTAGTATTATGTCTATATGCTGGAATTTAAGATTCTGAGGATATGGTTGTACAATTGGTAGCAATTGAATTTGACTGGTTTTAAGCTTCTGCTATGTCAGCTGTGATGTGATTGACCTTGCAGATTTCGTCTGTAGGAAGCAAAGTGCTCTCACTTAATTCAGAGCTCAATGTTGTGTATTTTTGTAAAGTACCCTTTACCGCATTAAACAATCTTTGGCAGCTTTCATAAACAATCCTATGTTTTTTATTACAGAGGTCTGCATACCACTTAATTATCCTGATTAAAGAATTTCTTAACCTGTTTTGACTTAATTCATTATGACTTCTGTGATAGCATCCTTACAGTATAAGGCTGGTGTCATCTACAATAGCATACAGTTTTTTTTTAAATAATAGCAATCTAAGATTCTTCTCTACTGTGCTCATGGAGAAAATCTTCTGCAGTATTCTTGCCTCTCTCTCAGCCGTTAGCTGTTTGCTGTATTGGGAAACCCATTATGATTGCAGTGAACTTAGCACTAGAACATCACTAACTGACCAATGTACAAAATTAATTTTTCACAGCTCAGGGACATGAATCATTACTTTATCTTGTCACTAAAGCATTTACTAGACTTGCTTTATTGTAAAATTATTATAAAATGAAGATGAATTAATAGTGCCTGTTCCAAGCCAGAATAAATGAGTCTTAAATAGGTAGTTGTTCAAATTCAGCTTTTCTTATTACAGTGTATGGAAGATGTGAAAACCTTGAACTTAGGTTCTAATCACAAATGATCTGTTCTCCAGTTTATTCAATTAAAGAATTTAAGATGAAGCCACTTATTTTTATATTCAAAACTTTGTTCTGTTTTAAAAATAATTTCCCCCTTCTCATCGCTGTTTTTAAGGATTTGGTGAAAATTCACAGGAGTCTAACACAGGACATCAGTGATTCCATTATTAACAAAAACGATCAGAACTTGTATCAAATTTTTATTAGCTACAAGGAGAGGTAAGATTTATGTACTAATTTTTGTCTAATTATGATATCTATGCCCAATCCGTGAAATCATTTTACTATATTTTGATGAATGTTTCTAAACTAAAATTGAATTCAATGTCAGCATTATAAAGCTAATATTTTGTGTTATGACCCTGGAAGTCAAAATGTCATCTATTACTTAATGAGCTATGCCTCTTTTCATTCCAATTTTAGCAAAATTGTTACATAGTTTTATATGAACAGTCTCTTATTGCATCAGGAAAGGTTTAGGTTGGTTATGAGGAGATTTCTTCATGGAGAGAGTGTTAAAGCATTGGGATGGGCTGCCCAGGGAAGTGATTTAGTCACCATCCCTGGACATATTTCAAAGATATATGGACATGGCACTACAGGACATGGTTTAGTGATGGGACTTGGTAGGTCAGGTTGATGATTGGACATGATTTTGAAGGTCTTTTCTGGCATATGTGATTCTTTAGACAGGTAGCAACTACATTTCTAACAAAACTTAAATAGTGGTTTTTTTTTTGCCCTCAGCACTTTTTTTTAACATTTAACATTTTATAGCATGTACCTGTATTGTTTAATGGATAGAATGGTATAAAGATGTAAAAGGTGCAAAATAAGGCAAGGATATGTAATAAGGGCATTCCAGGTTAAAGAAAGCAAGAGAGGTGATAAACATGAAAGCAGAGAACATAGGTGTGAAAGAGAAGTCTTACTCTGATCTGCAGTCAAGTATGGCAGGGAAGCAAGCATACTTTACCTTCAAACTGTCAAAAATAGCCAGACTAATAACAGGATAGCCACGTGAGCATGTTGTACCCTGTAGGCTAGTTGCCAATATGTTTAAGCCCTTTTCAAATTGTGTTTTTGTACTGAACAGCACTGAACAACTGTTGAGCTGTATGGATGAACTTACAGACCTATGATACTTAGCTGAAAAGCTGTGCTGTGGGTTACAGTGCTGACTTAACACAAACTAACTCTTGGATTGTGATTAAAATTCAGTTTCTGGATCCGGAATGCAAAAGAGTGGTGGGATCAAATTGGATTCTCCTGGGAGTGATGGGGAAGGAGGATTGTTGGGATAATAATGGGCTTGTGAGGAACTGAGCAGCAGCATCTGGAGGATGTTTGACAGATGAGTTGTTTTCTGGATGAGGAACACCAGCCAGACAGTCCATAAACAGTCTTGCCTTCAAGATCCTCTATCTCAGCTTTTCTGGCAGAGGACAGAATTATTCCCTGGGCTGATAAACTTGCTGCTGTTCTAGGAGGGAAATAGGGGACAATAACTTGCTCTGGAAAATACTTATTTTTCAAAAGTAGCACTGAAATGTCTGCTATAAGGGCAACAAAGGACACTGAGAAGAAATCTCAGTCTTACCTGCATTATGCAGAAGGGGAACAACATGACATAGGACATTGTAGCACATTCTGGAAGTAATCAGAAGTGATGTTTAGTCAGTATTATCACTTCAGTTGTGTAATGAATGACCAAGATTCAGTTGGGGATAAAGGAATTTAGGAGGCCCAAAAGGAAAGCCATAGGAACTGCCCAAAAAGGAATTTAAAAACACAGAGAAGGAATCACCTAAAGAAATGTATGGAAAACGTATAACAAAACAGAACTCTGCCATGGGACTAAAAGAAGCACTTTAAGAAGGGTCAAGAGAATACCTTTATTAAAACAGACTCTTCCATGAAGCATTAGTTCTGTTGACAGCTACTGGGTATTTACTTTAATTCATGCTGTTATTTGGATCTGAAAGCTCACATGATGTAACCTGGTAGAAAACGTTGGAGATGGATCAGTTAGGATAACTTACCAGTTCTTTAAAGTATATGCACAATTAATCCTATTAAACTTGTTAGAGAATTTATTCACTGCACTCTTAAAAATTTGCAGTGCTGTAAATATGTGGTGTTCTCCTGTTAGACAGTGATTATACTGCTTTTAATGAGTCCTGCATTTATTGCAGCATACACATGTGAATGTTAAAGGAAGTTGCAGTGATTTTTACAGCATTTTGAACGCAGTTTTAACTTTATTTTTCTGAATACTTTTCATTGTTTTCATTGTTGGAGTCTGGCTATGTGTGATGCTGGCATAATTAAACGCTACTCCTGTTGAAAAGAAGATTGCCTTTTTTTTTTTTTGTGAAAAATGAGCAAGAATTTTCCTGAAATAAGCAAATGTTCCCTTTATTCTTTATCTCTTGCTTTGATTTAGATTGGTTATTTATGGACAGTACTGCAGTCAAGTGGAAACAGCCATATCATGCTTAGACAACATTTCTAAGACAAAAGAAGATGTTAAGTTGAAGTTAGAGGTATACGAATTTTATAATGTTTGTGTGTGTGTATTATATGTGTTCTGATAACTATGTCCTGCTTTCAACCAAGTCAAAAATGTAGTGGATTAAAACTGAATTTGTTCATCATCTTTTCCTTGTAATTTATTGGAACCTCTCATCGGATTAATGTTTAGCTGTTGAGATACAGACCCTGGCAATCCTGAATGGATAAAGTGAGTGATGCTTTCCACTGGCAGTAGTAGGGTTAGGATTTATTTTTGGAACTGATATTTCTCTGTTTGTCATATGTTGGCTGAGAATACAGAATTGCAGACTTCTGTGCCAAATAAGCCCATCTTGAAGCTTCTTAGGGCTTGTTGCCTACCAAGAGCCCCTGTTCTTTTCAGCTGGGTTACTGGCTGGTGCTCAGGGTTAATGTGTCCCAAGTTAGTGTGTTCAAGGTGCAGGACTTTGCATTTTCCTTGATGGCTTCATGAGGTTCCTGCTGGATGTTCTCTGAAGAGCATCAGCTGCACTTGCAATCTGGTGTTGTATGTGGACATGCTGTGGATATCCTTCCACTTTCCTGCTAAAAATATTAAAATTGTTAACTAAGAGGAGAAAACAGTAAACTCAGACATTGGTATAACTGTAGCAGATCTGTTCTGGATATTCCTAGTCACCTTCTTTGTTTGCCCAGGAGTGGCTTTCAGGAGCATTTGCTTTCAAAACTGTCTTTTGCTTTTTTGAAGGTGGTTGCAACGTCTGCCTTCGTTGCTCTGCTTATAGGCAGTATCTTTTTTTTTTTTCCCAGTTGAATTCTACGCCTCATTTCTGTTGTGATGTTTAGTCCATATTTTTTCTTGTGAAATATCTAAGAAGAAATGTCTATACACAGTCTTTGTTGAGATTTTACTGTCATATCGAGTACTTTCTTCCAGTTTGTTGAAAGCCTTTGTCTCAAATTTGCTGAAGTTATTACGACAGCCAATGTATCTGTTCAACATGGTATTCATGGAAATTGTGTTTTTTTTTTTTTTTTTTTTTAATTATTGTCCTAATCTATTTTTCTGTTTCAAACTAGGAATGCTCTAAGAGGGCCAACAACGGGAAATTTACTTTGCGAGATCTTTTAGTGGTTCCAATGCAAAGAGTGCTAAAATATCACCTACTGCTCCAGGTAACAGAACTGTGATTGTTTATCATCAGTGGTTTATAAGTATGAGAGCTTAAAAGCCTTTATCAAAGGAAGGTAACTGACATTTCCATAGATTTGAGACTAATTTGTTATGAAATAAAATGCAGTGAAGCACAGGTTTTCTTAGAGATGATTCTTCAGAGCTGATGCATTTCTGAGAATGATGAAAAAACACAGCTGTTTCCCAGTATTTGAACCTTTCATTCTTGTTATGTTTAAAATGGTTAGTAGTAGCACGCTATAATCGTGGTGCTTTGAAATGTGGATCGTTATCCCTCAACAAGGAAGCTGAACCATACTTACAGCTTACTTTTAAGATGCTTTTCTGCTGTCATAAATTACAATAAAGCCATATTTATTTTGAAATGCTTCTTGTTATAACCCACAAAGCACGAGCTCTCACAGTTAGCCCTATAATAAGGGTGGAGAGTCTTATAAATTTGATTTGATAGCTGTGCCAGGAGACTCATTAGTTCAGCTGCAAAGAAATATATTACTATATGAGACTGTCAGCCCTGCTGATGCTTGTAAAATGTTGTTTTAAAAAAGATCTACTGCTTGCTTGTATAGTAAAATTTTGACTCTATGGAACAACATAGATTTTGTATATTAAGTTTTTGAAATATTTCTGAACCATCAACATTTCAGTTGACAGAAATTTGGAACAAAATAAATGACCAAACTGCTTTTTAAAAAAACATGGCTTCTTAGCAGAGGCTTATTAGAGTTACGGTAGTATGGTTAGGTGGAGGTTGGATTTGATGATCTTTAAGGTCTTTTCCAACCTTAGCAATTCTATGATTCTATAGCTTTATAATCAACCTTTTATATTATGACAAGATGAAATACGATGTGTCGCTATGTTCTAAAGTTTGAGATAACATGTAGTAACAGCATACATTGTACAAAAAAGTCTTATAGACTTAAAATGAAAAAAAAAAAATCTAGTAAAACTCTTAAAATTGTAATTTGAAATATATTTTTTTTATTTCCTAGGATTTTAAGGAGGTTTTTTTTGCTAGCTGGGATGTATAATTTTATTTTCAAATCATGAACAAATATTCTGTTTCCCTAGGACGTTATTTTTTAAGAAGAACTTGAAAAAAACTTTTATTTTCCAAAGGGAAAATGGCAAAAAAAAAAAAAAAAAAAAAAAAGGCAAGTGTGATTTAAATGTGTACTCTGAGTCAACTTTGTCAACAGTGACAGTTGTCAAAGCTAGCTGAGATCTTACTGGTAGTGTATGTCCCTGTCTGCAGCCAAATGAATGCCTTGGAATGGGATTATACACTGAATAGCAGTGAGCAAATGAACTCAACTGATGATCCGATTGGCAATACTTAATTGCTATGAAGGCAAATTGGTTTCTACTGATTGTAATAATACAAATACCAGTATTTAGACTATGTCATTCTTAAATGATCTTTGCCAGTTATTTGTTTGCAACAGTCCTTGCTCAGCTTACAAGTTGGTTACAGTGGGGAAGAAAATGTGAATTCTCAGGTTGTGTTTTCTGTTCTTAGGTGTGGGGTTTTTTCTTTTTTTTTGGGTGGAGTGTTGTTGGTGGTTGTTGAGGAATGGTGCGTGGAGTAATAACTTCAGTTTTCAGCTGTCAGACAATGGGTGAGAAATTTAAACTACTTTTGTCAATAGGAGCTGGTAAAGCACACTACAGATCCCATGGAGAAAGCAAATCTAAAACTGGCACTTGATGCAATGAAGGTAAGTCGTGCTGATTAAGTTTTTATATCCATGTTGGCATTTAAAATGGTAGTTCATAAGTATATTTCCTGGAAACTAGTATTCTTCACAACAGATCAAATAGGTATTTGCTCAAGTCATTGTGTGCTCTGTGAGTACGTAGTTGAAGGCTTTCTCCAAGCCTTGGAACAAATTCAGTATATATGAAATGGAGCTTCCTCATTTCAATTTACTTTTCTTATCACTTTGCTGTCATGTACTGAGGCAAGCAGCAGGTGTTTCAATAAATTTGGTCTTAGTTCCAAAGTGTAGGACTATTTCTATAACTCAAAGCCAATTCTAATCAAGGTCAGTGGTTTCCCAATGAGGCGAAGACATCTTTCTTTAGAAGACTCTATTTCTATGATCTCTGTGGCTTTACCCTTGAAATTAGTGGTATATTTCTTTAGGTACAGTACCTGTCATCTCCTGCAAGTGGCACAAACAAATGCTTTATAGAAGAGCAGTACTGCCTTAATATTACTTTGTGTTCCTCTGTGCAGTGAAATTTCTGCTTCACTTGGCTTCACTACGTGAGTTGTGAAATTGATGTGGTGGAATTGAGTTTTTTTTCTATTCTGTGGTGGGGGAAAGCCAATACAGTATAGGTCATATCTTCTTCTATTGCAATCTATATTGACCACAGGAGATGCAGAAGTCAAAATAAGTAAGTTTTCAGTCATGCAGCTGCCTATGCTGCTACTTGAATTCCTAGAATACAGACTAGCTCACAAGTGAGATTTTTGGCTCCCCTTTTTTGTTTCCAAGTTCTGTGCTGTGAATGCAGAGGGCGCTTGTGTGATAATCTCACAGGAAGATGCCTGAAGGGAGTGGCACAGCATTGCTTCCAGCTGGTGGCAAGGCAGGCATCTTGGTGGCTAGTAATTGGCTAGGAATCATAGAATCATAGAATGGCCTGAGTTGAAAAGGACCACAATGATCATCTAGTTTCAACCACATCCAGCCTGGCCTTGAATGCCCCCAGGGATGGGGCATCCACAACCTCCTTGGGCAACCTGTTCCAGTGCGTCACCACCCTTTGTGTGAAAAAATTCCTCCTAATATCTAACCTAAACCTCCCCTATCTCCGTTTAAAACCATTCTTCCTTGTCTTATCACTGTCCACCCTTGTAAACAGCAATTCCCGTTCTTGTTTATATATGCTTCCTTCAAGTATTGGAAGGCCATAATGAGATCTCTCCGGAGCCTTCTCTTCTCCAAGCTAAACGAGCCCAATTCCTTCAACCTCTGCTCATAGGAGAGGTGCTCCAGCCTTCTGATCATCTCAGTGGCCCTCCTCTGGACCCACTCCAAGAGCTCTACATCGTTCTTGTACTGGGGGCCCAGGCCTGGGGGGAAAACAATTGTGGTTTTATTTTTTTTTCCACTTTTTTTTTCTCCTTTGATTATGTTCTTCATTGTTTCTGGTGATGGCTGACTCAAACTAAGACCAATTAAGAAAACTTTTGTCAGAATGATTGTGCAGTCGTGCCCTGCCTAGCAGCCGATGATAATAATAAATAATTCTGCAGGAACTGGCATCTCTCACTAAGGTCACATCATCATTTTCCTCCCAGTTAAACCATATCCTTCCATACTAAGCCCTATTAGAGCAGTAGAAGTAGCCATGCAACATAGATTTGTTGCTTCTACAGGCTTTCGTTTGTCTGCTTGGAAATGATATTTGGAAAAAAACTGACAACAAGCGGGTACCGCATCCTGGAAAGGAAATGTGTCATTTTTCTTTAAGCAACAATCAAGAGGTTTTTTCTAGACCAACTCTTGGAAGACTGATGTGAATGTATCCTGTTTGCATTCCTTTGGGAAACTGGCATGATAATTGTAGCTATTCTATGGTTCTGATTAAAATTTTATTAGAAAGAATATGTATCCTTTTCCTACGCTCCCAAATTTGTAGTTGTATTGAAGGATACTGTAAAAGCAAGTTGTGAAGATCAGAATACCTTTTCTAACCGCTGCTCTCAGCATCCCTGACCTCACCAGTTACACTGCTGCTTGCTCCTTATCTCTAGCCATAAACAGAGAAGCCTCAGCAAATTTTCACTATTACTCAAGCGCATTCAAAGCTATTTAAAGGCTGTAGTGAAATGTATATGTTATGTGCTCTGGTAAGGAAGACAATAATAATCTCAACCTGTTAATTTAAGTAGTATATCGCTTTAAGGACACTTAAAATTTGTGTAATATCTTCTTTCTGCTGTACAATACTATTATTCTGCAGTAGCTTCTTATGTCTCTCTTAATATGCATTCCATCACATACATTAAATCCTTACTTTTGAGGAACATTACATATGTTTTCTATTACATTCTATTTTTACCTTCTTTTCTATTATCTGATTTTGAATGTTGTTGACTGCTTTCTTTAGGCCACTGCTGTACTGCATAAATTACATTCCATCTTCAGTTTTTAGAATAAGTCATTAACAAAATCCAGAGAAAGTTAGTCCTTTAAAAGAAAAAACAACAACAAAAACAAAACAGTATGTTGTCCTTTCTTGCTATAGGATTTGTATTTGAACAGATAAAAAATGAAGAAAGCTGTATATTTGATTTAAGATGTGCAGAGGCTTTTTTACGTGTTTAGTCAGACAGATTGGTAATTCAGTAACATCAAGTATGTATATATTTGAATGTAAGTATGTACGTATTTCTTTAAATGTGAAGATAAGCCTAAGACAGAACTAGAAATAAATTGGCTGAAATAATGTATTGAAGTGGTTTGTTTTGTACTTTCTCCCTTTTTTGGTTGATGCTCTAGGACTTGGCTCAGTATGTGAATGAAGTGAAGAGAGATAATGAAACGCTCCGTGAAATTAGACAATTTCAACTATCAATAGAGAATTTGGTATGTGATAGTTTTACCTTATACAGTTCTTAGTAACTTTTGATCAAATGCGATGATATACGTACATTTTTATTCTTTTATATGGGAAGATAGTAAGTAATCTTGGTGAAATTCACATGCAAGTATGACTTGCTTGGTCTAGAATGATAGAATGATGATTTACTTGCAGAGATATCTGCTAAAACTCTGTAAATTCCTGCTGGGGGGTTATACGTACTTACAAATATTCGTGTAGATAAATGTTTGTATTTGTACAGTGACTCAGATGACTTTGAAATGCAAAAAATTCTTTGAGACAAGTATAGGACAATCTGATGCCCTATTGTATGTAGGTTGCTCTTCAAGTAATGCCTCCTATTTATTTGCCTGGAAACTACAACAGGTGAAAAGCACAATAGCACTGCTTGATAGAGCAAATTCTCAGGCACAAAATGCTATTTTTCAGTGTAGTTAACACCATCAGCTATGCATTTTAACCAGCAATAAAGAAAAGCCTGCATGCTGTGCTCATAAAAGTAGGCATGGCTGTCCATAACTTGGATTGTCTTTCATGTCAGTGTTACCACTGCTTAAATGCACCACCCGTGAGCACTTGCTGTGCTCACATCCACTGTTTGGTCCCCATAAATGTTCAGCAAGCATCAATTAATATCAATGGGTGCCATTTTTTCTGTGTAGAAGAATTCAGTGATATACCTTTATATCCTACGTGCTTCCAGGTCTCACTCCATTTTGTCAGACTGTCCCTCAGCTGCCATCAGTTTCAAAGCAACAAAATGTAATGGAATACTGGTGAGAAGGTTCAACCTCCAATATCTGCAGTGCACATTTCAATGATGTGAAGGGCCAAGATAACAAGAGGCATTACTTTTTGAGTGGTCCTTATATTTAGTTTAAATGACAGTGACCTGAAAAGCCCTTTTCTGGGGTAAAAGAAGTGGTCTAACATTTTAGTGTGTTACCTTACCACTTTTGCTGTACTGAATTAAGCCTATTATTTCTGTTTCAGAATCATTCCCTCTTACAGTATGGAAGACCTCAGGGTGATGGGGAAATAAGGATAACTACGTTAGACAAACGGGCGAGGCAAGACAGGTGATGTCATGACTTCTGGTGTTTGCTATTAAAATGCCTGTGAAGTAACTCTCTTTGCATATTTGAGGTCAGTTCATTGATTCTTGAGAGTGCTTCAATTTCGCTGTGCACTCACAGACACCATTATTTGTTTAGCAAGTGAATTTGTGAAGAAGTTATGTATGGGAAATTAGCTATTGCATTATCATATAAGATAATCTATGTCTCTAGCAACAGTACTTTCAGTGTTTCTTGTTTTGATATTCAGTAGTTAAGCTGTTCAAAGTTTTAAGCTCCACAGGCAAAGATTTATAAGATGAGACTTGGTATGCTGGCTATCTGGAATGTTTTTAACTCTCTTTACATTGTATTTTCATAGGCATATCTTCTTGTTTGATCTGGCTGTAATTGTTTGCAAACGGAGAGGTGATAATTACGAAATGAAGGAAATAATAGATCTTCAGAAATACAAAATTACAAATAACCCCACTACTGATAAAGAAAATAAAAAGGTAAGTACTTGCTAATAATGTTCATGTAAAATATATACATTTTCAACATCAGTTAGAAACATTTTTGCAGGATTTAGAATGTACATATACAATTTATATACAAAGTTTTATGTATTATCCAAAAGCCAAGATGAGTATTTAGAAGTTTCAACTTCATTTATTTTGATGTAGCTAAAGCATTTGACTAAGCAATTCCCATGTCAACAGAATAGCGTGCTCTTGGTGTTTAGAAGATAAGGGCTTTTATTAAGGAACATAGAGATGTTTTTTTGTTCCTTTTGGTTTTTTTTTCTGTGTAACTTTCTGTGTATTGCCAATCTTTTTCTACAGTGGTCTTATGGCTTCTACCTCATTCATATCCAAGGTCAAAATGGTTTAGAAGTTTATTGCAAAACTAAAGATTTGAAGAAAAAATGGCTTGAACAATTCCAGATGGCTCTGTAAGTATTTGTGTTAAAGTAAAATCATGTTACTTAAGAGTAGGAATGTCACTTGAACTACACTACTTATGTTTTGTTTTTTAATACAGGCTAGTTAACTATTTTGTTTGACTTTCTGAAAAACAATAGTGCTGACACATCTTCATGAACGTGGTATTTCCCTGAAACTCCTCTTGAAAAAGAAAGAGGGCACTCTAGACTATGTATTGCCAAATTTGCTGCTAAGACTACTTCAGTAATGCTGTCTTAAACAACTGGGGTGAAATAATTATTTTAGCAATAAAGATATATCATTCTGATAACTTTTCCCCTCCCATTTTAATTTTGAGTAGTTGAAATACATTTTTGAAAGATGACACAGAAGACTAAAGAGAGGGGATTCTGGCATTTTTCTAGGTAGTTTTTTACTAATTTAATGTTTAGTATTTGGAATAAGTTACTCAACTTGGTACATTTCATTTCAAAAGCCTGATTTCCTCTGTATATTTTGAACTAAAAGGAGCAGACTGCTTTAGACTTCTCAAAGTTGTTCAGATGAAGCACTGCGTGTAACCTTATTGGTATGCAGCATAAGCTTTATTTCCATATCTGATTCTTCTTGGAAAGACAACTATGAGTATTGACACCTCAGATATTCTTATTACATGTGAAAGTTGTGAACAAGAGAATTGAATGAGAAAGTGATGCGTGCTTTATTTAAAAAACAAACAACAAAAAACACAAAAACAACAAAGCAACAAAGTGTGGGAGAGAATGAGATAATCCCTGTGAAAATAGAGAGATAGCATTAATAAGTTTTTTTTTTTTTTTTTTTTTTTTGGATGTGATTGCAAAGGTTTGTGGAGTAGAGAAAAAAGCTGTTATGAGCTGATATGACTGGAACTTGCTTATAAGCTATATATATTCCTTCAAAACCTCAGTATGATGAGTGTTAATGATTTAAATGAAAATAAAAGGGAAGGCAACCTGAGCTGGACAGATATAATGATGCCCTCTAACCATGAAGATCTTGCTGATTTTGGCAAAAAAAAGAGATGATAAATTTTGGCAGAAACCGATATTGTAGTGAGAAATGGGAAAAGATTTGGAGTGTGTAGAAAGCTGCATACTTCGCCTTTTCCTATCTTTCTGTCCGTGTTCTGTCCCTGCTGTTTTATTGTCATTATTGATATTTAGTTAAACATAGAATAGAACATGTAAGGAAATCACGAGGAGCTCAGATGTTTCAGCTTTAGCTCTGTAACTATTGATTGATTTTCAGACTTCATACCTCATACTTGTGTGCAAAAAATCCGGAAAACCAAGAACAGAAAAGTAAAGGAGATCAGTAAGAGTCAGTTAAGTTTCTTGTGGGTTTTTTTGTTTGTTTGTTTGTTTTCCCCAGGAGCACCTCCTCATTTATTCTCAAATATCTTTTTAGTTCTATGCAGGCATGTTTTCTTGCCCTCTCCTCTATTTTCTATTTTCTCTGGTCTCTAGTGCCTGAGGACATCCCCATCCTTTGTGCACACTTGTGCAGCTCCTCTGAGGCTCCTAGTTAAGTGCTGAGCTGGGTCTAGCCCCTCCGCCTCACTCACCTCCTCTCAGCGCTGCCCTTGGATGTGCCTTTGCAAGGAGGGCTGCTGCTGCCAGTTGCCTTGTGAGCAGAGAGACATGGGCCTGCAGGGCTTACAGGTTATTGTGGTGCTCATTCCTCTGGGGATTGTGAGGTTTCTCATTGAAAACGAGTATGGTGGTGCCAGCCTTGTCTTGCACAGATGATCATCCCTCTTGTAAACCCATGCCTCTGGGTTAACCTCTTCCTATGTGATTAAAGGTTGAAATGCAGAAGCATGGGAACTGGAGGAGCAGAGTTACTTCATGTCAGGGCTAGCATGTAACATGATACAGTGGTATGATTTGCATCAGCCAATGCTTTTTCTTTGTTGTTTTATAACCACTGAGATTTAAATGTGGAGCTTTTGTACTTTATGAAGCTCTTATACCTTCACCTAGTCTGTTGCAGGGGCTTGATCTTATAGCATATTTCCCACAGCAGCTTTCTCAAAACATACCTCAGCGTATATAGAAATAATGATATTCTAATCAGTGCTAAGGTACAAGAATTTGGGAAAAAATGAAGCCAACTTCTGAACAATTGGATGGTTGATTTGATTTGTTTTTTTGGGGTGTCATTGCTTATTGAATAATGCCTACTCTAGTATTGTAATTCCACACTGAAAAGTAGCCATGACTAAAAGTATGTAGTTATTTATCATACTCAATAATAATTACCACTTTCTTGGACAAAATACTTCTTATTTTTAAATTTTACAGAGACTGCAAAAATGGCACAGTTAAGAAGGGTTGCATTAGATGCTTGTTTGATGATCAGAAATAATGTTTACAGTTCCAGACAGAAATTTCAGTGCAGTTCTTTTGCCTTCTGGATAGCATTATAAACAAAATCAGGTGTCTGCAAGTCTTAATCTAAGAATGTAACAAAAGAACAGATTAGGATCTCTCTTACAATTTATAAATCAAGAGTAAGCCTTTTTTTCTCCCCCTAGAATAACTCGTTGGCATAATTATGTTAGGCTGCAATTTTGCTTTCATAGGGTGGAGTTTATATTGGTCTATGAGCAACAGTGATAATAGTTATTGCTGAAAAAGCACTTACTGTAAAGATACCTTACTTTGGTTCCTGTACCTGTAAAATTATTTCAAGAAAAATGCTGTTAAAATCTTTTCATCGTAAACAAGACCTAAATTCAATGAAATCAGCTGAATAATTCTTTCACTGCTCTGGTGTAACTGAGATGAGAGTTTGTCTCTAGATTTGGAAAGCTCCTGTTATTGATGAAGTATGAAATAGAGGAGAACACAGGATTGCAAACTGGGCTTAGTTTCAGCTTGATGGGCAGAATGCATTAGGCATACTTGATATAGCAAATATTAGAAATCCCAGTGCAATTTTCAGAGTGCTACTTTTCATACTAGTTAACTTTGTAAGAAAACTACCTTAAACCATTAAAAATATTCTACTTCTTGGCTTGCACAGTTGTTGTAGTTGTTATTGTATTCTGAGTTGTTTTGTCATGAGAGAGGCTGGCAACAACTGGTTACTGTTAATATGAAACTGAGTAAGTTATTATTATTCAATAGCAGTTCTGCTACAAGTAGGTTTTTTTTGTGTGTCTACTGCTTTATGTAGATAATACATAATGGAACAACACCTCCATTTTATTTTTCCAAATACTTTCGTGAAGGTGACTGATGGAGCCAGTACACACGCTACATTCTCAGCAACAGTAAAACTGCAGCACAGTTGTATTGGCACTGTTTATCTTTTCACAGTTATTTCCAATGTTGAAGCTGAGTCTGCCCCTGCTCTTTTTTTTTTTTTTTTTTTTTTTTTTTTTTTAGTGTATTTTGTACAGTCTGAGAAACTCTGGTTTACTGGGAGATTTGTTTTTTTTCTGAGCAGTAAAATGATGCAGGACGTTGGGGCAGCGCCCATCAACATTGCAGTCAAACTCTCAAAGATGAAACTTTGGTTGGCTTCTGAATTCAAGAAGGTTTTGCCACACGATTGAAATATGTTTTAGTGGGAACCCGCATAATGCACTTGGTTTAGTTTGCTTTTGGTGTGTCCTGTTCCCTCTCACTGGTGTGAGTGGAAGTTCTGGTGCACAGAGAGACTGTAATTGCTTATTGCCTCAGAAGAAGCACTACTTAGCAGTAGTGGTTAATTTGGGCAGTTGCTACTTTGTTTTTGGAACTCTATTAATAATAATAGATGAGCTTATAGCTGTATGGGTAAACAAGCACCTTTTTAAAGATAGTACTGCAAAGACTTTACTAGATGTAGAGCACTTGTTTAATCTAGCGTGTCAAATAGCATTGGTTTAAGCGTAGAGTCATTTCATATCCAAGATAATATTAATAGAAATGTACAGCCAAATTACTGCACCAAATTACTCAACCATGCTAGAGACTTTATTTGAGAGTTTGTCAGCTATGTGATTGTGCATGGCTTATTTGCTGCATGCTAACTATTAAAACCTCAAAAACTGGTTGCAAGCGCAGAACAATTTTGATACGTTTTTCTCGTAAAATGTCCCATCTAATCCTTTTTTTTCCTCCTGTGTGGGGAAAAAAAGAACCAGAGTAATCAGAACAAATGTCTCATACCTACGAATTACATAAAATGCTGCAGTGCTGGTCGATACTGCTTTTTCTAGAAAGTTCTCATACAGAGTTTTTTAATGCTTGTTTAAAAAAAAAAAAAGCCCCTCAAACTATTGTGTAATATCTCTTGTCAGTGAATTTCAAGCAAGCAGCTCTTTAATAAAAGAAATTGAATGCTAAAATTGTCTTCCTCTAATTTGAGTGTATATACCTCAGCTGTATTACTTGGGCTTTAGAACTACTCACCTGGCTAATTATCAGGTTTAATGTCTTATGTGGCAACTGCTTTTTTCATCATTGCTGTAATAAGTTTCATTCTTTTTTCTTTCATTATAAGATGAAAGAATAAATAGTGGAAAGATGTCAGTTACTATTACACATCTCATGTGGACATGGAGCATTTACTTCCATCCACCAAATATTACTTTGTGCTAAGTTTGTTAATGTTTGTTAATCACAGTAGAGCATGGAGCCAGTTCTATGAGGTCGTCCTCACGATGGCATTTGAAATCTTTTCCTTCAAAGGCCATGTATTACATTTTCACACTGACTTAATGTCTGAATCCATTAATATAATATAGAATGCCATATATTATACTGATTTGTCCTGAATAATGTCCAGTTCGCTAATTTGTTTTTTTTTTTTCCTCATTGTGCTTTGTAGCCTACTCTAAAAATGGCCATCAGCAAACTAGATAGGAACATGTTGTGCAGAAATGCACTTAAAAATGAAACCAAAGAAGAATTGAAGCTGGAAGGAGTGCGTGGAGTTTGTCTACTTCAGTATTCTGCCCAGAGTCAGGCTTACATAGCTCAGGGCTTCTACTTGA